GGAAAACATCACGAAATGAAAGTGAACACTTCAAAGTTTGCTGTCGTTCTGAAAATCTAATCAATTACAAAACACATATGAGCACGAAACCTTGTGGGAGTGCTGTCAGAAATGAATTCAATGAGTTTCAGTCATACTGCAAAAGCAAGAAATAGCGGGTTGAAAAAATTCGTATTGCTAACAACATTTGGAAGTGGGGTTTCATTTCCTAATGCGAAGTTATTCAAGTGTGAAACTATTCAATAACGATTACATCGGAAATAAATATTGTCGTTGGTGTGGTACACACTTCACTGTAATTGTGATTGCGCAGCAATTTGGGACATGTACGTATTGTTGGAATGATTTCCCATCAATGCCATGAACATTGACACAAGATTGAACAGTGCTGAGAAATGAATACCTTCTAAGCTGTACTATGAGGTGAAAATTGCTGCTTTTCGCATAGGCTGATCGATGTAAATAAGCATGCGTGAATGAAATAAACATATCATTGTGCGAAAATTATGGACATTAGAATGCAATTGTTTCACTGCAGTGAGATTGTTATTGTTGTGAATTGCGAAAGAGGCATTGCTGTGACGACTATGTATGAATGAGCATTTGTAGGTGCGTATCAATTTCTCAACTGATGCTATTATGAGTTAATATCTATTGGATTTACGTTATATTATGGATGGTTGCATTGGATATCAACAATAATACCGTGGTCGACTTGATGTATTTCATGGACTTATAGTTAGCGCTGATGAATAATTTGTTTTGAATCCCAAACGCATCAGCCAAATGAAGACTCTTTGTAAACATTCAAGCATGAACCACTTACGCATACAACTATCTTGAAGCGCTTTCCACACGGGAAACATTTCGTAAATTGTATCCAGCCGAAATGATTTTTTTGGGGCAATATATCATGCATCTCTAAACCATCACACACAAAGACAGGCCATCAGTTGTTTTTTTTTCAATCCTTCGCACTAAATATATCTTTGTGCCATTGCTGAAATTATTTTTAACTTAATCTCCTCATCACTCTATTAGAACCGCACACACAATTATGCAACGATACTCAGCAACATTCACGATTGAATGGAGGGACATACACCGCAATATTCTTTCAGTACATATTTCTCCCAAGAATAGCTTCCTACATTTGATTATTTTGTTTGGAAGCTGCTCTGGACAGTGCTGTGGAATTGTTCAGACGGGTAATAGTTTCCATAATGTCCCCATTTTTTTAAAATTGTCCCCATTTTTTGATTGAGAGGAAAGCAAAATATCGCNAATGATGCATGCAGAGATGTGAGTTGCGAATGTATAGACCAGGGGTCCCGGTAGAGGAGGGGGGGGGTGAGGAATTACCCATTTTTGGGTAAGTTAGGGATGTCAGGGAGGATGGAGGGGATCGGGAAGTTAGTTGTGACGTGATGCGTGGAAATGGTAAATTATTGTAGCGGGAGGATAGGGTAGGGGGTAGTGACGGCCTGCCAGACCATCGAAGGAGATAATGGAGCACCCGAGCGTGGAGACCACAGGTACAGATTCTCTAAAAAAANCGATGGCGCAGAATTCATACTGTTGGAATTTACCAAGGAACATTTACGTATTTGTAACGCCTTGAAACAAATGCATTCTGTGTATTTATGGGAAGATGGGTGTCAACTGGTGTATGCATTCTGACTGCAATACTTTTTATATTTCTCGTGTTCATTAAAAATCGAAATTGAAAGGAACGAAACATTTGTGAGTTGGTTCAACCGGAAGTTGCGTTAGTCCCTTGGCGAAGGTGACGAACGTTAGCAATTTGAATGAATGTGCAATTGAATGAAATTCAGTTTGCCAATGAATGCACTCGATTTGTTTTGATAAACGATTCAGAACGTCGAAATTTTCATGTAAACACTGAATTGTTTCTATCGTTTCTACTAATCTCAGGATGTGACTTTGGGCAAAACTTTTCCGAAAAGCTAACGATGTTAACATAGAGCAGTGATTTTCTCAGACATTACGGCAGACCGTCATCCCTCCATCCCGCACCCTCCCATTCAGTCCCTAACAAACTTAGTGACTGAAAGTTCCATCCTTCACTAACAACCTGTTACTTCTTAGCGGCGAATCAACGGAAAATCCATTGATTGATCTACTGATCAACAATATTGCTGTCAACAGTTCGTCAATTAGATCGAAGAAATCAACTCTTGTAATCAATCAGGCGTCTTGGAAACGTCATTGGACAACTATGCAAAAAACTCAATAAAGAATGATTTGCCGGCCTGATTTGTTCAGTCCCTCCTAATACCCTGTAGTTCCCGCAGGGGAGGATTTCCCTCTATGAAGCCACTAGTATAGAAGACGCCATCTGTCACCGCTTTCAGTATTATGTACACAGAAGGTTGATGACTTAAATAATATAGTTAGAATTGAACGAAATGATAGTAAGCGAAAAAGTACATATCAGTGTGAATCTGCTCAAGATACATTTGCTATCCTTAACCGCATTCGGTTAGAAGACAACAATCGAAAGTTGTTGAAGACAAATTAGATTTTGTTCCTAGTCATTAACACTTCTTGTAGCAATGTTCATTGCTTCCTAGTAATTTTGCTTTGTGCTTGCAAATTATGCAAATTGCTTTGTAACGTAGGGAGATGTGATTGTTGCTTTATGACGTCGTCTTATGATGCGATCTTCATGCAGCGAAAATTCCATAATTTCTAGTATTCCTATTCGGCATTTCTCATGAATAATGAAGATCAAAATACGGGCGATGTCAGTATTTGAAGACACACCTAATTGTCATATAAACTTACATGCATTCAGACGTCAAAGATTGGGCAATTCTCTTCACTGCCACCTTCTCAGCATCACAAACTGAGAATGTGATTCTTCAGTAATGTCGTAGCTAAGAATGTCACTGCTCAATACCAATAATTCGACCAGATCTATTGTTTCAACCATTCCGTTTCAGTGTTGTAATACTCAAGAATGTTTGAAAATTTTGCAATTAGTTAACGGAGTGCAAAACTTTTACGCATTCCTCCAGAAGAAAGAAAAAACGTTCGCACTGTACGGTAGAGGAATAACGCCTATAAGCTAGCATGAATTTTTTTCGCATTGATATGTTAGCTTATTCACGGAATACATTTTTTTTCACTGATATGTGAAGGACGAAGAGAGCATGATTGAATTATGTCATACAAGCAGTGAATGATATACGAGTATCAACAAACGTCTTGTGAAGTATAAAGTTCGATCGAAACCATCTCTTCAGCATGCATTCGAGTTGATTCGTTTTAATATTCATACGACAACATAATTGTTGATTTTGAAATTCACAAGCTGATGTCAATTGATGGATAAAGTTGGTAAAGAAGTGTATATTAGATTATAATATATGTGTGTAAACATGAATGCCTACGTTTAAGTATACACATATAGTTGTGGTTCATTTTTCGGTTTAAAGTCACTTAGTGCTGCGATCCAATCAATGCTATTTCATAAGTAAACTATATTAGGCAAAAAGGCGCATTTATTCACTTCGTTTAGCATCTTCTCGATCCGTACGCAGTCATATATAACATATATATTCTCGACAAAGACTCTGATATCTGAATATGTGGTGCTCTGCTTTCATATTTGCATATCCTGAAGGGACTTTCTCAATTATGTTAGAACCAAGAAAATTTCCATTTTAGAGCCAATCAGAGAGAAAATGCTTGAGATAGGACTGAAATCGACATGACTAGAAGCAATTCCACTTGTTTTGTGTGGTTATGATGCACTGAAAAAATCTTATTATTGAAAGTCGTTGGTCGTTGCACATGACCAATGCAGTGGAAAATATGTTGGAAGGCTGATGAATGTTTTGCTTTTGAATACTTGACGTAAGCAGAGTATTTGTTGCTCACTGATCCATAAAAACTGCGGTTGATGTCGCCTGTTGATTTGATTATCAACCCCTTCAACTGAGTGTATTCATTCGGAGCTATGCCTTGAAGGCTATTTTTCAATTATTTGTTATTACGTTGAATGTCACACCAATTAGGTAACAGATAATTCTGATTTACATCCTTGAAAGAATGATCCATGGAATGTATTTTGCGCTAGCTTTGCTTTAACAGATGATTTTGAAGAAAATCTCTGTGGTCATGGGAGAACTATTTTGCATGCGTGAAATGATTCGTGAAGATGTCTCTGAATTATCTGATTGTGAGGCAACCTCGCTTCGTTCGGAGACTACTTCGGTTCGCAAACGACCGATTGCTGACCACTGATTTATACGCAGTCACCATCTGAGTGGTGATTCGATGTTGTTTTCTTGAATGATTAATGCAAAAGAATCAACTAGAAATGTCTGCGTTGAAGAGTTTCATGACAAACATAACGTACACTAAACGAATGCACAGCTGCAAAGATTGGCAATATGGGTTTAAGTTGGCGATTAATACCCGTGGGAGAGGATGAGTGATCATTTTTGGTAGCACATTAAAACGAAATGCTTAACAATACGATGTGCGTTCAATAATTTTCAACAAACCAGCATAACAACATTAGAGTGGCGTTATGCATTGGAGATTTAATTTTGAGTTGTTCGAATGTGACATTGACAAAGAATTGGGGGATGACAAAGTATTCAGCAAATTTTCTGATTGGCTTCATAAATGAAACATTCTCCAGTTGGGATTCATTTAATCAATCATTACCCGAAAACAACTCAGTGGATATCATTGGATCAAAAACAAGCATTCCAATAGCTAGTGAATAAAATCTAATTGCAACAAGTATGATTCATTACAATCATAGTTAGTGAATAAAATCAATTGAAAAAAATCGGTGAATCGAATTGACAGCTGCTAAAAAAGAAGAATACGTATAATGAAGGGCACTTGACGTTTAAGTTATGAAATTTCGTCTTCCTCAAAACAAAGTATTATATAATCATTTATAATCAGATAAAATCAAACCTGATGAAAGTCATCTTTTTAGCAATTTTCCCGTTAAAATGTTTAAGGCAGCCATAAAGCACCGACATTCGAAATTCCCGCTATGGAAGGTTAGCCTAGATAGAACGGCACAGGAAATTAGTACCTGCACTTTATATCATAAGATGATAATCTGTGACAACGAACAAAGCACTTTCGTTTCTCCGCATGAAGACCAATAAATCATCGCAGTGCTTGTTCACTCATCCACGACTCTCGCAGAAAGACCATTCGGCTTCATGTTTTTCACTATATTCGAGAATCGAAGCATTTTGGTTCAGAGCGATCATAATTATAAATCACTATAAATGCATGAGCAACATTAAACAAACAACGCTCGGTATGAAGTGAAATAATCAAGCAGTTTCAGGAACACCTGTTTGTAACAAACAGTTTTAGAAGTTCTGCATATGGCAGTTGTATCATTTGTCCGACTTCAAGTTACTAGATTCTGCTGCTTCTGTAACTATCCATCAAAACAATTTCTCTAGAATGATTGTCTCAGTAGTTGTGGAGCGTAACTGCTCTACATAGCAAATGATATTGTATGGTTTTACTTGTAATAGTATGAAATTGAAGCTTCACTGAGGATATGAAAGTTCGGAAACTCCTAACTCAGCTAAGCAACGAACATTCAAAATCGCTGATACCTTTGAAGTTGGAATTTGCAGATAATCGGCCTCGAAGGGATCCCGGTCTATACACAGTTCTTTCTGAGGGATGAGCACTGGCACTTCGGTAGGTTTCTGTGTGACCTCTGGCTTCTGATTGACTACGTCGTGTGCCTGGCTTCTATTTATACAGTTCTTGGTATTACTATTGATAGGTACGTATTTCATGTTACGTATGTATTTCTTTAGACTTGCTTTCTATAATAATATGGACCTCGATCTCCGATAGAGACGAAAACCAGGGGAGTGCTTGATCAGTCAGTACCGCAAAAAGTGTTGATCGTACTTATGAAAAGAAGACGGAACAATTTTGACGAATGCTGTTTTCTGTGGTGATTGAGTGATGATGGCTGAAATGTCAAATATTTCCCATTTAAAGTCTCACTGCTATGAAGTTAATATTTTTAGATATTGCTCAGTAAAGTATCCAGCAGCCTACAGGAATTGGAGGACACCGGGTAAAGTCATTCTTATTATAGCGATTGTCTGGATGGTAAGTGGAGTACTTGACAACGGTTATTCTAAAAAATAGGGTAATAGGCATATTGTCGTTTATTGAATCTATTTCCGTGGTTCACATTCATATAACTTCAGACAGTACTACCAAACTCATACCCATAGGGATACCGAGTGCCTTCAAAGTTTCATTGTTATGCTCAATTCTGCCCTTCGTAGCATATCACGTCTATTTGAAGTTTTATGTCTAAAAATAAGAAAATCTTCCTTTTCCAATGCGCTCTTTTTGATTCAGACTGTATGGTTGTAGCCGAGCATTTAACAGATCGCATTCAGTACCATTTGATATATTGAGAATGGGAGGAAAGTTTGGGATTCATGTGCAAAATAGAACGATAAACAGCGAAATCCAAACGAGCTAACAATCAGTGTTTTCAATTCATGCACACCGAAAATCGTTCAGCATTGAGAGGCAATTTTAAACGAAATGAGACGGGATGTATTCGTTAGCTCTGAGCGTGATCAATTTCCGATTGAACTTCCAAAAGACTCAGTAACCATTCCATAAACTTGTAATTGTGAAAATTACCCAATACGATATAGTTGGAAAGACTCGTTGAATTGCAAATGAAAGCAAAATGGAGTGATTCGGTGCTAATTAAATAATCCATTCAAAATGCAGGAGTGGTGAAGATGATGCTCATATCACATACTTACTCTACTGTATTTTCAGATACCCTTAGTGCTGTTTTCGTTATCAATATTTGGCTATGATAAATTTACGGGTGAGCGAATATTGGCAGATCACGAATGCTACGTACAATTCATGGCCAATCCAATACTGAACATGGGAATGTATATATCCTATTATTGGACGACACTTTTTGTAATGCTCTATCTATACTGGGGTATATATCGAGCTGCGAAGTTATTGGCCTCCAAAAGTGAACAGGTTCTTTGTTGTTTTGCATAAACAAGATGTGATACTGATCTTGACGGCTTTATCATTAATTACCTAACGCTTCTCAGTGTAATCTTCAACTTCAATCTATGTTTGTAATGCCACATAAATCAAACGGTTATTTGCGTATATTTGATCTCAAGTGCCATACGCCGCCGAATACATTCCATTCATTCGCACTCAGCTATGACGATATTTCTCGAAATTAAGAAAAATAAACGACTCGCAGTGCTCAACGAAATGCGAAGGCCAACCAGAACCGATCTCGTATCAACAATGACCGCCAGGAGTAGCGAACCTGATACTCCACCAGACACATCTTCCTCACAGTCCAAGTAAGCGTAAAAAGTGCATTCAAAACTGAAATCGACTTTTTTACACGAAACAGTGTAGTATTTGCAGAAATAATGAGGTTTCTGAGTTTGTATTCTCATTGATTGTGATATAAATGAAAGTGTTGACGGAGGTGCTGCATTTTGATACATAATTATTACATGTTATATCTTGAAAGTCTCCGTAATATTTATTGTTCGGAAAATGCAACATACATATGTGCTTATGCAATTACGCGCTTGAAGCTGATGTCGTCATGTTGTTGAAAGCATGCATAACAGTATTACAGTTAACATGCGACAAATTGAATTCCTACGCAATTACTGCGCAATTGACTACGTATTTGTCCTAATGAACAAACGTATCATGGTTTCCATTCACAGATGTAACTTCTTACTTTGGGTTCAACGAATCCTTCCAATCGTGAGGAAAACCGAAATGATACCGTTTTCGTCACTTACCAATTTACACTAAAGGAACATATTTCGAGAAAAGTCGACTGAACCTGAAACACGACTGAAACTTTTCTGCACTATTCATTTTTAGATTGAAACTCGCTGATAGTGGATATCGATGTATCAGTTGTATGATTCATTGATCGCTTGAAAATGCACAGCATGACTCTACTTCACTAGTTTTTGCTCGAATGTACACAGCCTTTTAGTTCACTACTACTTCACTGTTTACTCGAATGTACACAAAAAATCGTTCTCTGATATACCGATAAATGCCACCTTTCATGCTGTACTCTTCAAGAGAAGGACTTTAGGAAATTCAAAAATCAATGAAACACCCAAAAATGAATTATTTAGATGGACAAAGAATATGCAAAAAAACAGAATGCATTAATGATATTGATGAAGCCAACTCATCAGTACTTGTATTCATCAGCCTCAGTCTGCCATAATAACAACTTGATTACTCAAAAATTACTCAAAAAACTGAAAAGACTGATGATAAATGTTGTTCATGTCCACATTCCTCCTACTCAATTTCGTTGAGTATACCAGAACCATGTTAAATAAAAACTCTCTTGAGATACGAGCAAAAAATTTATTGCTCAATAAAATCATACACGCACTCAAGATTTCAGTTTACTCTTATACCGGCATTCACTATTAACAAACATCATCCAATGACATCGATGGACGTAATTTTCACAGAACGTAATTTCAAAACGTAACTTTTTTTTCAAAATCTGCAATTATTGTGGAAGAAACTGAAACAAAGTTGATCCACAGAAATGTTCTGAAGTGTTTGAGAGTAGTTGTGTATTACTTTGCATTCATATGTGTTCTCGTGTTCTGTTTGGAGTGTGAAAAGTAAAGCAATTGTTTCAACGCACCTTATAAGAAATTGAAATTACTCTAGATCGGTGGTTCTCACGTTCGGGTGCTCTATTACCCCTTTTGCTGATCTGGCAGGCCGCCGTTACTCTCCCTCTCT